ATCATCATCATCATCATCATCATCATCATCATCATCATCATCATCATCATCATTGTAGATAGCAGGGAATAATGGCCATCACCATCATCATCATCATCATGACAAGAAGAAGAAGAAGAAGAAGAAGAAGAACGCAGATAATTTCTATAGCATCCACCCCCCTACAATACAGCTCTGGATACATTACAATACACACTTGACAAGTGAATGAACTTACATGATAATTCTACACTCTTTCGATTGACGCTACCACATAGATCTACGCAGACATCCCTACTATCCCAGCACACTCAATGACGAATACACGCATCACATCATGGACATCAGAGTACTAGGAATTATAAGATGGTTAAGTTGTCTTCGATGTGAGAGGTTGTCGTGTGCTTCGGTGTGGTTTGCGCACAAATGATTTGAACTCCGTTCATGTGTAGGGATGAGTTTGTTTTTTCATCGAGTACAAAAATATCCCCGTCTATCTGCTTGAACATTGTATGTGGGTGGTTGGCAGGTGCTCTGGTGTGGTTTGCTTCTTCTTTCCTGTCAAACATCTATCGTCCTTATCTCCCCTTCTTCTTTTTTATGTTTTTTACTCTCTTGTAACAGCTCTAATCTTCTGGCGCTCATATGACCTTATGCGTTTGCGAGCGCCGTAAAACTTCCACTAAAACTAAAACTAAGAACATTGTATCACTCTCAGTCTCCGCGCCATTTCTCCCTTTGTTCCTGACGGTCCGGGTTGAAACAGCCTAATTGTGTCAGAGGGCACGTAAAGAAAGTAAAATAACTATCATTTCCTTCCTCAATCACTCGTCTTGTAAAGGGGGATGAGAGGGTGGTTGGCGGGTGCCCCAGTGTGGTTTGCTTCTTGTTCCCTGAAAAATATCTATTTGTCCTTATCTGCTCTCCTTGTTCTCTTGTTATCATTATACTCTCTCGTAACACCTCGAATCGTCGGCTCTAATATGACCTGTCTGTGCTGCAAGTGCCGTAAAACGTTTTCTAAAACCCAACCTACAAGCTCACCGTGTAGATGCCTTTCTTAGTCTTTCGCAACGTGCTCCTGGAGAGAAAGACACCCTCCACCCGCCCGTCGTCGTTCACGCCCACATAGAGAGCGCCGCCCCCTGAGTTGAGGAACCCACACAGGTAGCGACCCACCTGGCGAGATAATGATCACGTGACGTCACATGACGCAATGGGGAGTCAACTGGGGTCATGAACAATCAAACAAAGTAAAATGAAACCAACTAAAAACAACAATAATAATAATAATAGTAATAATAATAATAATAGTAATAATAATAATAATAATAATAGTAATAATAATAATAATAATAATAATGATCATAATAAAATAATAATAATGATAATAACAATAATAATAAAAATAATAATGATAAAAATAATAACAATAATAATAACAATAATAATACTATTAAAAATAATAGATAGTATTTGTGTAGCGCAAATCCCCGCTCAACAGCAAACTCTATACGCCTCACAATCTATACTATTACTCCAGCAGACCTGAGAGCATTCTGAAACAACCTCAACTTCATGGGAAGCATTCAGTGCTTTTTAAAAAAAAATCTAGCTTGCAAAATATCCTATTTATATCAAGTAGACCAGTTTTATTTTGGCACACCTCACAAATAACATGACAGAGCTCTTCTATTTCTCATAATTTACAAGTTTCTTGTTTTATTCTGCTAGGTGTGTCTGGTATATTTTACCCCATTTTTAGGTGATCAATATTCTAGTTAAATTGGGTTTGGCTTTTTTTTTTCTTCTTTTTTTCATTTATCTCAAATGTACCAAAAATGGTATTACAATTCGGATGATCATGGTTCTGTTTCCTAATCTGCTGTTCTTGGATGTGTGCTCTGTTTACCTGTCCTAGCTCTCTCTCTATCTCTCTCTCTCTCTCTCTCTCTCTCTCTCTCTCTCTCTCTCTCTATCTCTCTATCTCTCTATCTCTCTCTCTCTATCTCTCTCTATCTCTCTCTCTATCTCTCTATCTCTCTCTCTATCTCTCTATCTCTCTCTCTCTATCTCTCTCTCTATCTCTCTCTCTCCTCTCCCTCTCTACCCCTCTCTCTCCCTCTCCCTCTCTGTCTTTCTCTCTTCCTCTCTCTCTTTCTCTCTCTCCTCTCCCACCCATGTGCCTTGGTCATATTGTCATACAATATTGGAGATGGCCGTTTTATAGCGGTGGTCCCCGCCTCTCTGCATCTATTCAGTACGTAAAACAAGAAGAGCTAGTGCAACTGATGGCTGACGTAGCGAAACTCACAGCCGTGGCAAACTCGTACTTGAGGAACCCGGCGGACTTGAACTCTGCGTGCCTCGTCTCCACTCCCACGTACTGAGCCTCTAGGTAGAAGACTGTGTCTGGGCAGTGGCATGGGGATACCTGGGGACAGGGGGGGGGGGGGATTGGTGAAAATGTGAATAATGATAATAATGGTAATATTGATAACGATAATAATAATAATGATAATAATAATAATAATAATAATAATAATAATAATAATAATAATAATAATAATAATAATAATAATAATAATAATAAAGAACAAGAATGAGAACAAGAACAAGATGATGATGATGATGATGATGATGATGATGATGATGATGATGATGATGATGATGATGATGATGACGAGTATAATGATGAACTGTGTATAATACATATTTTCTGGAAATACAACAAGGTCTTAACTGTTTTAATACCTTCTTTATACAATGATGACGATGATGATGTTGATGAATGGTTTAGCTGTGAGGCACTTTGCTGTTTAACACAGGAGACCCGAGTTCGATTTTCAAGTGTGACATTTGTATGAAGTATCTCGGTCTCTCTGGTTTAGTGTTTTATCCCTTTCAAACCCTAGTTTGACCTGACAGACAGGTTCGCAAGTCCGCCTCCTAAATGATCTACATTTTGTGGCGTCGGTGGCCTAGTGGTTAGGCTATGATCAGACTTCCAACCGTAAGGTCGTTGGTCCGAATCCCGTCAGGGATCCGACGTTGTGTCCTTGGGAAAGACACTTTACACAAATATTCCTCACTTCACCCGGGTGGGAATGGGTACCCGGCTATAGACAGTGAAAGATTTCGTCAGTTTGTTAGTGTTTTGCGCTTAATCAGCTGCTTGCACTGTAGGCTTCCCGGGAAGCTGAGAATGTTTCTGAGTGTTTTATGGTCTGCTGGGGGTAATAAAATAGTGTAAAGGGCATAGAGCCTGCTGCTGAGCGGGGATTTGCTATACACAAATGCTATCGTAGTAGTAGTAGTAGTAGTAGTAGTAGTAGTAGTAGTAGTAGTAGTAGTAGTAGTAGTGGTAGTAGTAGTAGTAGTAGTAGTAGTAGTAGTAGTAGTAGTAGTAGTAGTAGTAGAAGTAGTAGTAGTAGTAGTAGTAGTAGTTGTTGTTGTTGTTGTTGTTGTTGTTGTTGTTGTTGTTGTTGTTGTTGTTGTTGTTGTAGTTTCGATGAGGGTGTAAAAAAATCATCTACATTAAAAAAGAAAGAGAAAGAATCACCATTGGAGTGGAAGTTTTGGCGTCGACCAGCTTGGGTCCGGGGACTTCTTCTTCTTCCTCCTCTTCCTCATCATCATCATCCTCCTCCTCCTCGTTCCCTCCTTCCTTCCGCTCCTGTGAGGACTGGCCTTGAGTTCCGCCTGGCCTCTGACCCAGCTGGTCGGAGTTCGAGTCCTTGGAGGGTGGCCCTGACTGTGTTGTTGTTCCTTCCTTGTGACCCCCGTCATCGTCCTGGGGCTGGGGGGTACACCTGGCAACGACAGGGGAAAGACTTGAGTTCTCGTGAAAGTTGTTGTTGTTTTTTAAAATACAATATGTATATATAGTGTGAGTTTTCACGCGCGCCCATTGGCACAATTTAGATCATTTAAAAGTCGGGATTCCGACCCTGCCTGTCAGGGCCAATCCGGGCTGAGACTGAGAGGGATACAACATCCCCGAAGAAAGACCGAGATACATTATAACTCATTTCTCACGACTCGGAAATCGAACTGGGATCTCCTTAATGCGGTAGCAAAATTCCTAACTACTGCACCATAGATGTCGGTTCGAAAACGAGTTTTACGACACTTGCACCTCAAATAAGTCATACGTGTGCCAAAGTTTCGAAGTGGTACTAGAGAGTAACATACACAGAAAAGGAGGAGGGGTTGATGTTTGATGGGAAAGAAGAATGAAACCGCCCTCTGGTGGGGATGCATCTGTTAGTTTGATCGTTTCTTCATGATTTTGTTCCTTCAACACGACCCCTCAAATCATGTAACAAATGTGTAGCTATATGTTTCCCCTTGCGTTAGACCTACAGAATTAAACATTTGGAAAATCAAGATTGAGACGAGCTTGAATTTCTTCTCGTACAAACTCAATGACTTTCTGATTGGCGGATGTGATGTAGGCAGGGAGACAAGTGTGTGTGCGTGTGTGTGTGTGTGTGTGTGTGTGTGTGTGTGTGTGTGTGTGTGTGTGTGTGTGTGTGTGTGTGTGTGTGTGTGTGATTGGGGGGGGGGGTAGAAATACATCTGTAGTTCGTTTGCCGTTAATCACAGTGTGAACATACTTGTGGCCCGTCTTAAGGCTGGTCCTCGAAAGATAATTACTTGGAAAGCAATTTTCCCCGCTCTTTTGCAAGGCATTTGAGTTACTGCACTGCTCGTTTCCGTACAAAGCTTGTCCGTGTAGAAGTAGTTTACAAGAAACATGAGAGCAAAACCTTGAAGCGGTTGCTAAATCAGAAACGGAGAGAAATGTCTTGTGGCATGGGATGAGTGCGGCGGCGGCGACAGCTCGTGAGCTTTTAAATGTAGGCCAAGGGCAGACAATGAGTTGATCGTGAGGGGGAGAGAAAACGGGGAAGAAACAAAGAGGAGAGGGACGGTGGGTGGTCTGTCCTTACTGGCGCCAAGGTCGAGATCTGAGACAGACATCGGCCATCTTGGTTCATCATTCATTCGTATAAAAAATAATAATAAAATAATAAAAATAAATTACACTTTTATTTGTCCCAGAAGGGCACTTTGGTTTACAATGGCAAACATACATATACGTACATACATACATACATAAATACATAGTTGTAAATACGTACATACATAAGTGCATGCATTAATACAACATACATACACAATACTACACAATTTTACACAAAAACAGAACAGTTTACAAACAATGCCACTGCCGGTCGCCACTGTGCAGCGCCCTGTAATTTGAGCTAGGGTTGCCGTGTCTTGCTCAAGGACACACCCCAGTGACCACCCATCTGATCCCCGTGTCACCGACACTTGCTTGACATTACTTGAGTTAAAATTCACTACTCACTTAGCCACAAAAATGTTATATTATTATTATCCTGATCTGTCCCCATCATCCCTCTGTTTAGTTCCCCCCTATGTGTGTCGCCCTGGGTCTACCCCTGCCTCGTTTACCTTCTATTTTACCTGTGACACACATGCAGGAGACCCGAGTTCGATTCTCCTGTTACGAGACTCTTAATCGAGTACATGTTTCATGGTATCTTGGCTGCAATGTTGTATCTCTCTCAACCAGGGTTGTTAACGAACAAGCAGGGTCGAAGCCAGCCCTCTTTGTGAATTGTTTAAAATATGTTTCGAAGATGTGAAAAGCACCTACATTTATTTTTTGAAAAGAACATTATGAACCACTAACGAGAACTCAGTTTTCATCCCAAGCATTTAGTGGTACAGTACATCATAG